CCCCAAAACCCCAAAACCCCAAAACCCCTGCATCTAAATTAATAATTGAAATCGCCTAAATTAAGAGAAATCTTTATACCATGAATTATATCAGAGGTTTGGGTGAAGTTAATTCTCCTTATCTGGCAAACTTAGGTTTCTTTCTCTAACAAAAGAAGGAATCAGAGCATACCTCAAACCTTATCAGGAATATATCAATTACAAATCTGATTTTGAGAATAGAGGTTCCAGTTGGAATCTTGAGTTAGAAGGCCTCATTTTAGGCTTCTGAAAAACCTTGATGACCTCTCTCTTACTTAAAGCGCTAGAATGATTGTTGGACTTCCTAAGTTTCTCAAATTTTGAGATCTTCATTGCTAATTTGAGGTCATCTATAAGATCGTTTATTACATTTTATCAAATAAGAAATTTCCTAGTTACAACATTTTATAAAGAAGAAGCATTCTTACCTTTAACCACAGGAAAATGGGTCAATTCTTGTTGTGACTTTCTATCTTTGGTCTTTTGCCTATAATAAGATCAGATATTTTCTTCTACAAGAGCTTAAGTATGAAGGCAAAAATTTCTGATATAACTGGCAATTTAAAATTTGCAGATTTTGGTCATTCAAAATATCTGGTCTTTCATATACACCAATTTAACTATTTGCAGAAATGAAACTATTTTTAACTTCATTAAATATTTAGCAAGTCTTACAGAAATTGGTAGGTTTCTTTGCTCTTGAAATTTAATTTTTGTAATAAACACGAGGAAAGAATTAGGTTCAAAATAGAAAAGCTGAAGATATAGGAACTTTTATACAATTTATAAGTTCCAGGATCTATCGAAATATAAGCACTCTTGTAAAGGTATCCCTATTATTGACCTAATTATTCCCTTTTCACTATAGAACCACAGTTTAATAGGTTTCTTTCACTTGCTGCCTCAGGCTTATAGAGAAACAACTTGATTATTCATTAACGAATCAGTTTATAACTAAGCAATGATGATAAATCGATTACTTTATATCTGTCTTGTTGAGTGTTCTACTTTTTTTAGATTCTCATGCATATTTCTGAGCTACAAATAAGTTTAAAGCTCTTACTCCATAATTGTTTCCTCTTCTTAGCCTTTTCAAACTCTTCTCAAAAAGATCTGGGGATGGTTTAGAGGAAATAAATTCGTCATAATTAAGATACTCCAGTCTATTTCCTGAAAACTTTCATGTTGTGCTTGACTAGCTTGCTTAAGTTCATTATCTGCTTCTTTTCGGATGGCTATATACAGATTAACACAGATGATAATTTAGGTAACATATGGCTAAATGAAATCTATTATGAGCTTAACTATTCTAATGAGACCCTGACCTGACTTTCTTAAAAGGCACAAAAATTTGACATAGTAAATAATGATATTTAACTTGAAGACTTACCTTATCCTTATAAAAACGATCGAAATCTTTCTCAATCTGTTCTTTTGAGGCCTTTAAGTGACTAATAGCTCCCTCCGCTTCTTCTGAATCATTCTTTTGTTCATTATCTTTATCTCAGCTTTCCTTTCCCAAAAAGAAAGAAGGTCTGATCTGCGACTTATTTTGTACTTCTTTTCTGATATTTTTCTTGCTTGCTAGTTTTTGTGGGCTCTTGAGCTTGAGCACTGAGGTATTTACTCTCCTACTTAACATTGGATTTTTGGTCTGGCTTAAGTTCCTCCCATGTCTCTTGGGGTCTGTAGTCATTCATGAAATAAGGTCACTAAGTGTTTTTCGGGTGTTTTTAGTGAGGCCTTTGGTAACACTTTTGTTAGAGATGTCTCTAGGGTGTTTATTACTCTGAATCTTAAAACCTATATGTCCAAGTGTTAACGAGGAATCATGAAAAATTAATATCTAACAGACCTTGCTTGGATTAAAAATGGAAACTTGATTAAATATAAATAAAAAAACACACATTTAGGATGGATTGGTTTTACCTGTAATATTTTTGCATTGAGAAATATTTTCTTTTGAACGGTTTGGAACAGGTGTATGAAGGATTGGTTTGGAAGAATAAGAATAAGGTATTTAATGACGAATTATTTGTTTGGAAGAAGCTTGAGGTTTTCTGCATGACTTGGTGCGGATTTTGAATGAGTTAGTGAACATTTCTGGTGAAATTGTCGGATTGAAATTTATAGTCACTTTAGAAGCTATCATAAATTTGTGAAGATTAATTTTATTTCTATTCAATTTTATCCGGTTTAATGGGGTTTTGGGGTTTTGGGGTTTTGGGG